GATTTTTATTCTTGTAACTAATAATAACCAAAAATCTGTAACTTATCTCCGTAAAAATACTGGGAAACTATTTCTAACTCTACTACTTGACTTCTGTTTCTCTCTCCAGGTATTATTATTTATAATTACTCGAGTTTTAAATTACTTTTACTCGAAATAAACTGTAAATATTTATTTTATTTTATTTCGCTTCAATAGCAGTAATTTTACATTCAATATAAATCGAGAACAAACAGTGATTTTTCATATTGCGGTATACAGTGCTAGGGTCCAAACTTCGCGTCATTTAATTGACTCCGACCAGCTAAGGGGTCCGTTGACTGACAAGAAAAGCAAAAAATAAAACATAACCTAATCGGCTCAATTGGTCTGATTAGAATTTTAAACAGTTTTCCTATTTTACTTGTCATAAAGTTTAGACTTTCATAATTTTACCGTAAAACCATAGTTGTGTTTTCGACTCGTGAAAGTGTCTTCCTTACTTCAATTGCCCAAATGGAGCCTCTAGCTTCCTGGATATCCCAGGTCTATCATTAAACATTATGGAAGATCTCTACGACGTCTGAAATGAAAAGAAGGTTCTTGGAACATGTGAATTGCGATCCAAAAGAAGTTGAATAATACATTACTTTTTGGTGAGTATTAAAATAGTAATTTCAAGTCATATGATTTGTTTTTTTTTTGTTTTCATCTGGATTAATATAAATGTTATGTACATTTCAAGAGTGATATAATCAAAAACTGTTGTTTTCAGTTAAAGAGTTCTGTTACATGTTACACAAGTATGCACATTTTTTTAGATGCTAAAAACAATTATTAATAATTAAAATTAGTATGGGAAACAAAAACTCATTCAGTCGGTTATAGAAGAAATAAATTATAATGTTATTTAATTATTTTAATTAATTGCAGAAACAGAAATAAAAATAATAAATATGTATATTTCAGGGTCCGAAATGTGCAACATTTCTAACCGGTCCAGAACAAAACTTCTAACTAGACCTTATCAGGTTTAACTTAGCCACTCCAAGTATATAAATATATATATGTGTGTGTATGTGTGTGTTTATTCCATTTTATCCATTGGAGATGTGAATCTTTTTTAAACAAAGGGCACAATTGCATCTATGGTGGTTTCTTAGTCTCTTTCTGTTATCTTTAACTGAGAGTTAATTAATTAATATTTACGTGTCTCTTTCAAATGAAAAAATAAACATATTGATATATTAATGGTAATTTAAATGCCCATATTTTGAGAGACCAAAATAGGAAGTTTCTGAATGTGGTGAAGTTTGTACGTCAGAAACACCAGACCATTTTTGGGCGGTTCTTTATTTACAAACCGTGTTTAATATCAATTGGAATGTGATCTACGTAACTTAATTGTTCTGCTAATATTGAAAAATGGATAACGCTCAACCAGTAATCGTATTTAACTTCCATCGCTGAGCATCAGTAGGCGTCCACAGTGTTCCTAAAAATAAATATTTAGATAAGAAAAATCAAATATATTTCAATGAAAACAAAATAGATGAACTTCAAATTATATACGAAAAACTTTTGTTTTGTTTCTTTTTGAATTTCGCGCAAAACTACACGAGGGTTATCTGTGCTAGCCGTCCCTAATTTAGCAGTGAAATACTAGAGGGAAGGCAGCTAGTCATCAATCATCACCCATCGCCAACTCTTGGGCTAATCTTTTACGAACGAATAGTGGGATTGACCGTCACATTATAACGCTCCCACGGCGAGCATGTTTGGTGGGTCGGGGATTCGAACCCGCGACCCTCAAAATGAAGTACGTAAGTAATTGAAAAACAGTATAGTTCACTAAGTACTGTAATGTAAAGGTTCGTATGCGTATGTCATTGAGCGTATACGAATTAGTTGCGTATTTAGCGACCAGATGGAGACAAAAATCTTACGAATGAGGGCGCCACAGGAAATTTCACGAGGTACAACAGGTCCCCAAAATAACTCGCTCGTGAAAATACTTGCATAGCAAATCTCAAGATTTGAACCGAAAAAAACAAACGAATGCTTTGTTAGCGAAGGTTCGACATGAACCATGAGAGAACCGGATAAAATACGAGTCGATATGCTTAAGAAACAACTATTAAAGCTTTACAGATATTATTCACAACCAAATTAATAATCTTTGAAACAACACTCATCTTCCGTCAAGGAGTATCTACACGAACAGACTTACTATAGCTACCCTAACAGTATTGTGCCAGCTATTTAACGTACATCGAATATCAGAAACATAAGTAAGAATCGAAACATTCAAGCACCAGTTTTTCGAGTGAAAACTAGTCACTACATTAAATACTTATATTATTCGGGAACTTGGGTGTCCAGAGGTGGTGTTAACTGGGACGTTTTTCTGATGCAGTGACTATACTCTTAAAAACTGCTTTTATTATATAACCATAAATACTAAATAATAATAATTTACACAGTGTCTTCCATAGGGTCATCGGAAAGTTAAGGCTTTCAATGCTAAAACACGGGATTCAATATCCTGTGGTGGACAGAGTGCAGATAGCCCATTGTGTGTAGCCTTGCGCTAAAACAAACAAACAATTATTTATACAATGCCATAGAAAAACATAGTAAAAGAGAACACAAAACACAATTTACTGGAACATGCCTTCCTCAGTTAACAATAAACTTGATTAACATTGTTATTCTTCCTAAACAACATTAACAGAAACTTTGTGGTTACTTTAAATGTACATAGACATGCATGATGTTTTAAAGTAACTGTCATACTTTTAGAATAAGATTTGAATTGAGGAAGTGGCCTACCTAACTGAACGCTCCCTAGCGTTGAAAAATATTTCGTAAACATTGCTGTGAATGAAAAATAAATAAAACATTAGTGAAATTATCATCTTATAAGCCCTGAAAGATTTTTTCTAAGGAATCAGTGACAGAACAAAACAAAAAAATCAACAACAAAGAACTTAATTTTTAATGTTTCTTTAAATTATTTTCATTAATATAACCTGGAAAATACAAATCTAAATGTTAGCGTTATTAATTTTTATACTTATGAAGATTAATTACATTGTTAAATTGGTGTGTGGATTTAGTACAACTCTAAATATCCAAAGCTGACTGAACCGAGTGAGATATTATTGGGTTTACGGCCAAAAATATCGCTAACTGCGATGTTATCCAATTGATCATATCAATGCATTCTTGTCATTTTAAGTTTTAGTTTTTCGCGTATTGTTTTATAATATTATGTTATTTTAGTCAGTTTGTTATATAAAACTGGATTCACTAGTTTAAATGTTACTTTTTTACTTTTGAACGAGTTAATTTATTATTTATTTGAATACTGACAAGACATGACAAACTGAAAGTTCTTTCCCTTTGGTATGTTAATCGAGTAATAGTTTATCATGTATCGTGTAGATACAACTGTAGGATTCTGGTAAAGAAATGGTTGTAATAAGTATGACAAATTACAGGAAAAGTTAATAATAAATGTCCAATATTACACTTAATCTTACTATGTTTGCGCTTTTTTTTTCTAAAATTAAAAAACAACAGGATTGTGGCTGATAAACAATGAAAATAAAACTTCTCTTAAAATCCTCTCAAAGCAAAACTTACGTAAAGAGCTTCTGGCAAGTTGAATTTGTTTGATTCTACGTCTGGAGAGACACCTGGACGGTCAACTCTGTAATTACCACCTCCACCATGTCCTCCAGAACCCTGTGGTAAATAACCATTGGCATTGTTAAATCTATTAAATCCAGGTCTGCCTCTGAATGAGTTATACCACGAGTTAGAAAAACTACCAGTTCCGAAAGCACCTCTTGGAAAATTCAACAGTCTGTTTTGCTGCTTTCTCGTACCGAAATGGCTACCGCTAATGCTACCTGAAGCAGGATACGAGCTTCCTTCACTGTAAGTGTTTGCAGAAGCTTGGAAGTCAGATTTCTCTCCAGATCCATACGGTCTATTTGCTCCGTAATGAAATGATCCAGCTCCCGATACTGCAGATGAGTCCTGGTTATTCTGAGCCTCAAGAAGTGAATCTCCAGATCCGTATTTTTCATGATTATCGATCGAATATCGGTCTCCAAAGCTGGAGCTACTTGACCCATGAGATTTGAAACGATCGTATAAATCTTGACCTCTATGACCTGAGTTCCCTGATCCAAGAGAACCGTGACTTTGGCTTGAAACTTGCCCATCAGTTAAGCTTCCTGAACCATAACCTTCAATTGAATGTTGACCTCCCTGGCCTAAGCTGTCGGTTCCATAAGAACCGTAGTTGTAACTTCCCGAATTTCCTGACCTGTTAGGAAGATAACTGTTGCTTGTTTGTTGATTCGAATGACCTGAAATTCCAGTTCCATAATTTTCATGTTTACTGCTGGATTGTCTATCTCCAGAATTCGAGTCCTCTGACCCGTAAAGACGATATCTGTCGCTAGACTGCTGCTGGTCACCCGAACTTGAGCTTGCGGATCCATAACGACGATAACCATCACCTTGTCCATCATAGTTAACCGACGTCTTTGTTGTATAACCATAATCCAATCCAGAAGGGTGATTATACGACCTTCGTGTTAACTTTCTGTTTTCAGATATAGGAAACAAACTTCCAGTAAAATTTGTTTGTTTGGGTTCAACATTACTGAAATTGAAAGGATAATTTCGATGTGTACTTGAAAATGATGATTTTTCAGAAGGCGGTTCTTTGTGATATTTACGGTATAACGCTTGAAAATTCGTTTGGTTTATGTCGACCATCTCCATCGCTGATCTGTTAGGTGTATTTCGATAACGCCTGCGTGGCTGAAATCTACGAAAAAAACTCCCATATCCTAAGTAACTTCGGAGCAGATAGAGCATGTCGATCTCCAACGAACTTAAGGATTGTTTGTTTGATTTCGATCCAACACCTGGATACTGTTTACCCTGAAATTAAAAACAAAACAATATCATTTCATACTAAATCAAATATTAACAAATTCTGAATGTAATTTGATACTTCCTAAATCCTCATTTCATCAAGTTAACCTTTCGGTAGATGGTTTGATTCTTCCTAAATTCTTTGTTCATCAAGTTAACCTTTTGGTGGATGGTTTGATCGTTTATAAATCATTTTTTCATTAAGTTAACCTTTCGGTGGATGGTTTGATACTTCCTAAATCATTTTTTCATTAAGTTAACCTTTTGGTGGATGGTTTGATACTTCCTAAATCATTTTTTCATTAAGTTAACCTTTTGGTGGATGGTTTGATCCTTTTTAAATCATTTTTTCATTACGTTAACCTTTTGGTGGATGATTTGATACTTCCTAAATCATTTTTTCTTCCAGTTAACTTTTTGGTGGATGGTTTGATACTTCCTAAATCATTTTTTCTTCAAGTTAACTTTTTGGTGGATGATTTTATACTTCCCAAATTTTTTGTTCATCAAGTTAACCTTTTGGTGGATGATTTGATACTTCCTATATCAAATTTTCTTCAAGTTAACCTTTTGGTGGATGGTTTGATACTTCCTAAATCATTTTATCTTCAAGTTAACCTTTCGGTGGATGGTTTGATACTTCCTAAATCAATTTTTCTTCAAGTTAACCTTTTGGTGGATGGTTTGATACTTTCTAAATCCTTTGTTCATCAAGTTAACCTTTTGGTGGATGATTTTATACTTCCCAAATCTTTTGTTCATCAAGTTAACCTTTTGGTGGATGATTTTATACTTCCTAAATCTTTTGTTCATCAAGTGAACCTTTTGGTGGATGATTTTATACTTCCT